TGCGTATAAATAAAGTCCAATCAGTAAGTAGAGCAGTTCTTTGTCTGGTTTCACATACTCCACTCTTTCCCCTGAGTCCAAAGCGGCGTGTTACAAGTCCACACATATGTTTTCTATTGTTTGGCTCAGTAATGGAAGAAAAGTAAAGGAGTGGGATCCTTAGAACAAGAAGTCCAACAGAACATGGGAAAGTGCATGTAGCACCCACTTGGTAGAAAGGCCCGGCATTAAGGCTGTTTTTCAGTCTTGCAAAAGATTCTCTGTTTTCTTCTACCATTTGTTACAACCCTTAAAAACAAATATGACAGATTTTACTATTATTGTTGTGGTGCAAGATAATTAAATAAAGCCCTAATTACATGTGGGCCCCGCTCCACCTTAAAGCTTAAACACCTGGATGCTTATATAACTCATAAGTTCAAGAAATGTGCATATACATGTTATGTTTGAATATTCTAATTTTTTGATTTGAGTGGTGGCTACACAGATGTATCTACGTCTATATGTGGTTTATACATTAATAAAAGTTTTTAAAGAATATCGTGCGTGGTCTTAAGGGTAAATATTTACCATGTATTAATATTGGTGTAGGTGATATCTGAATAAATTCTACTAAAACTACGAGGCTCTCTAAAAATTAAATATGTGAGGCAATAGGAAAAGAAGAGAATAAAAATCAGACTAACTTGCTGGTGGCCATGAGGCAGAGTAAAGGAACAAAGTAACCCTGGAACATAATGTATGAGAGAGTCAAGGACTCCACTGAGAGTAAGAAGTTGATGAAAAACGAAGAGGTATACAGAGATCCTCCTTCCCTACTTCTAAGTTTAAGACAATTCCCTCACTCGCCCGCAATATCTCCCCTTACCTCCTTCCAGCACTTAGCTCCCAGCCATCAATACAATGGCAGTCCCTCTCTTCCAGGAGACCACAAGACACTTCTGTCTTCCTTTGCCTCAAACTCCCACTGTATCACCTGTGACCTTCTATTTCCTGCTCACTCCTGTTGAAGTCTCTGTCCCATATACCACTGAAGTTCTCAGTAATAATCTGACACCAAATATCCCTGCTTCATTGCTTGGGGTTGGGAACACATTCCTAGTTATCTCAGAAGTAAGAGGTGCGTTTCTGAAATTCCATGATGGAATTCTAAATGTATTTAAAAGTTGTTAATATTATAAATAAATAGTAGTTGAGTTCTATACTTCTCATTTGTTAAAGGTGACATGGGGTATGAGGGTATGTGGAGGGACAACTTTTTGTGGGTATACCCTGTAACCTTAAACCACTTTTTATAAAATTCAATAGAAAAAAACAGAAACATGTTTAATACTGTCCTTCTGAAACAAAATCATTTTAAGTTGAACCCTACCTATTTTTGAATGCTTCTATCAAGCACCTTTAGGAAATGGTAAAGAAATACAGATATCTAAATAATAAGCTTCTTTAGTTATATTAACATTATTGGTGTCAACTTCACTGTGGAGCTGTTCAAAATGTGAAATAATGAAATACAAAAATTATAGCAGAAAATGTCTATGCACATATCACTTCAAATTAATTTTAATTTATTTAAAAACTGTAAATATCAAACAGTGAAATGCGACCTAGCTAACATTTATAAAAGAAATGGCTACTGACAAAAGCTGAAATGAGCACTTACTGAACACCACTGTGTACAACTATCGCTCCACAAAAAAATTGATATGAACAAGATTAAAGTTTTCTAGTTGAGCCTAAATGCATTAGAAATAATATAAAAACAAAACATTTTTGATAACATTTTTAAGTTACCTTCTTTAAATTGGGGGAAATTGACTTTAAGATCAAGATAAATACTTTGTTATATGGATTTTTTCCCAACTTCAAAAAGTCCTCTGTGCTGCTTCTAATCATCTTTAAGAAGATGTGATTTCGGTGGTGGGGAAGGGGGACATGGAGGCATTTTCAACTTATACTGTAAGTGTTTCTGTATTGTATGAATTCTTTTTTCCAATGAATATGTACTTTTAGTAATTAAAGAAAAACATAACTGAAGTGGTGGGGGGTTGGGAGGACACACAAAAAAAGGATATATATATTTTTATTTTTTTATCTTCACCCGAGGACATTTTTCCATTTTTTGTTCAGGTAGAGTGGGAGGGAGAGAGAGGAACAGAGAGAGAGAGAAACATCGATGTGAAAGGAACACATCGAGTGGCTGCCACCCACACAACCGACCAGGGCCGGGGACAAACTGCAACTGAGGTACGCGCCCTTAGCGGGAACCGAACCCGGGTCTCTCAGGACCGCAGGCCGACGCTCTAACCGCTGAGCCAAACCGGCCAGGGCAAAAAATGTATATTATTAAAAATGTCTTTTACAGTGAAACAAACACCACATGCTCTTCCACAATGAAACAATTTATGTAAGAACACATTTTTTAGAAATATATTCATGTTTTCTATTAAAATCACAATCAAGGACAAAGCTTTAAGCTACTCAGGAAAAATCAGAACACTGAAAACTCTCGGAGGGAGAGGGTTGCAGCTTTAATTTCTCTGCAACTTCTAGTATATTTCAAAACCACTTCTAAGCTCCTTTCTGCTTTCCTCTCAAGTATCTATGGCAGTGGTTCTCAAAGTATGGTCCCCAGACCAGCAGCAGCAGCAAAATTGTTAACATGCAAATTCACAGGTCCCATTCCAGACCTACTGAATCAAGAATTCTGGAAGCAGTGGAGACAGCAATCTCTGTTTTAACAAGGCTTCCATGTGATTGAGTTTGAGAAACACTGTATGTATAATGGGTTACATAGCACCTTCTTAAAATTATTTCAGTTTCACAATACAAACTCAATAATGATCACTTGCTTTAAATACTCACAGATTAACAGACTTATAGATACAGAGAACTTTTTGTTGGTTGCCAGATGGGGAGGTGGGGGGTTGGGGGCAAAAGAGAAAAGGTGAAGGGATTAAGAAGTATAAATTGGTTTTTATACTGATGAACCTTAAAAGGAAGGGGGGAGGGGGACAGGAAGCGATAAACCAAAAAACATATATGCATATATGCGTAACCAATGGACAAAGACAATAGTGTGGGGAAGGCAGGAGGGGAGCGGAAGCAGGGAGAAGGGGTCAATGGAGGGGCGGGGGAGTGAGAACATCTGTAAAACATTCAACAATAAAGATAAGTTTAAAAAATAAAAATAAAATAAATAAATACATTGTTTCAGTCTAATTTCATAGGGACAGTATTAACTTTTAATGACTTAAAAAACCCAGAAGTTTTGTAGGGAGAGAAAGAATAGTACACACATGAAATACATAATGTGTAAGAGGAAATTTTTAATACATATTTGTGGGTCAGGCCACTATTAACAGATTGAGTATGGGCACTTACTATACCTAACAGTCTGGAGAGTGCTACACAAGTATAAATTTATGCTAACAGAGATAAACATCACATCATCTCCATGACTTCAATTTTCATCTATCTATAATAAAGATTCTTAGTCAAGGCTACTAACATCTCCTGGGGGCTCCTTTTTATTTTCTAATTTTTTATCTTCACCCGAGGACATTTTTCCATTTTTTGTTCAGATAGAGTGGGAGGGAGAGAGAAACACTGACATGAAAGGGACACATCGAGTGGCTGCCACCCACACAACCCAACCAGGACCTGGGACAAATTGCAACCGAGGTACGTGCCCTTAGTGGGAACCGAACCTGGGTCTCTCTGGACCGCACGCCTACGCTCTGACCACTGAACCAATTTGGCCAGGGCCCTGAGGGCTCTTTAATCTTACTCTTCCTCACTTACCTGTCTTCCAAAATCACTGGCCCAAATGGTTATTGTTACTGTTCAGAGTGCATCATATATTTCCAGTGTACTGGACAGATGAAAGGTTGAAATTCACCTTTACCAGACAGATCTCTTTCCTTACCTTCTGCTTGTTGGATATTTCCACTTGGAGATCCAATAAGAATCTCAAATTCAATATATCTAAAACTGAACTCATAATTTTGTCTCCACTCAGAGCCCTGCCCCTCTTGCTTCCTTTGCTCAGTGGATGCAACATAAAGCAGCCTAGCAAAGCACCTAACATTTTTATTTTTTATTTTTCCCTCACCTACTGCCCCTCAGCCAATCGCCAAGGCAGTTCATCTCACTTCCAAATTAGCTCTAGAATCCATCCTCTCTGCCCTGCATTAGTGATGCAGATTCTTGACCAATTACTCCTTCCCTAGTCTTGTTGCTCCTTTCAGAAAGAGCATTTTCTAAAAAATAAATTTGATTATGTCACTTCATTGCTTAAAATCCTGCCATGGCTCCCTGCTGCCCTAGGAAAAACATAAAATTACATCCTTCATCATCGGGTCTCTTTCTGATATGATGTTACCTCTACCTACTACTCCACTCTCTTCATTGGCCTACTTCCTATTTGTCCTTCATGGTCCAGTTTCAGTGTTGCTTCTCTCATAAAGCCACCTCTCACCTCCGTATATGTTTTGCCCTATAGCACTCCAAGTGTAGTACTTACAATTCTGTGCAGTAATCATGTGTTCCCCCCTCTAGATTTTAAGCTCTACCTAGAATAGAAACCACTTTTATATTGTTCATAATTATAACCCTAGCACCTAGGCAGCAGTGTAGCATGAAATTAAGAACATGGGCTTTGAAGTCAGACAGACTTAAAAAGTATCATAAGCTGTGAGCATGTGGGAGTTTCTCAAACTCACTCTGCCTAGGTTTCCTTACCTGTCTGTCAAACAGATAGAACTACCTTATAAGGCTTTTTAAAGTTTAAAGGTGATATCTGAAGTATTTAGCAGAATGCTTTGTACACAGAAATGTCAGTTATTATTATTATTACTTAATACAGTGCCTATCAAAGAAAATATTTGCTGAATAAATACAATATTCACAAGTTATTAAAATGTTATTTATTAATGCTAAGCTTATATAATTCATTATATTTCCAAATAAAGCTTACAATTCTAAAAGGAGGCTTCAGTTTTATTTATGTCTGTGGCACTGAAGTTTTCTTACAGCCACTATTCAGTTGAATTATAAAGCAGAGTGTTCAAAGAGAATGACCTGTGCCTCACTTTCGGGAGCAATTTGCTTATGAAGTTGAATCTGCTCCAAACCAGGGCTTTCAAGAGAATTTGGGCAAGTTACATTATACCTTGCAGACTGATAAAAGCTGTAGTATTCAAGTCTATTTTCCCCTGAGTTTTCTGGTGTCTTTAGTTTTTGTTTAAATTGAACAACTTTGTAGATCAAAAACACGATTAAAACACAAGCTAAGATAAAAAAAGCTAGCAAAATGTCAAAAGCCTCATTTAACCTTTCAACTTCTTGTGTGCAAATTAGAGATGTTTTCCCTGACACTGACGCAGCATCGATTGGTAGAGCGCTGTTTTTTTCCAAGTTCAAGTTAACGGAAGAAGTAAGCCGTATCTGCACAGGCAACACTGCAGTAGTCTCTAGTGGATTAGCAAGGGTATTCTCTTGAAAAAATCTACTGGAAGGTGAAGTATGAATTTGTTCCCCGAAAGTAATGCTCTCAGTATTTTCCAAATGTTTCCCATTTGTGGTTACTTTATGCCAGGCCATCATTAACGCAGTGGTCTTGTGATGAATAGGAAGAGATTTTATAGCCCAAGCTCTGGATACGTTTGTCGAAGAGGTAACGCAATCTGTCAAGTCAGTCCACTTAATATAATGCAATGCTCTGCCGCGTATGGATGGGGGTTTTGACAATAGATGTTTAGGGTAATGGCTGAAGATGCTAGCCAGTCACGAAGGCCCAATAGTTTGCAGTTACATTCCCAAGGATTAGAATTTGCCTGAAGATGAGTCAATGAAGACAATGGCTTAAGGACCTTTGGATGTAAGTCTGTAAGATTATTAAATGACAGATTAAGGATCTTCATAGATGCTCCTATATTCTCAAATGTATCATCATCAATGCTGATTATTCTGTCTAACTTAAGGTAAATTAAATTCTTTAACAAGCTAAATGTGTCGGATTTAAATTTTCTAAATCACTATCACTTAAGATCAAATGTTTAACATTATTAAATCCACTAAACCCATCCCTAGTAATGTTTTTAATTCTTGAATTATTTAGAAGCAAATATTCCAAGTTGAAGAGTCCTTTAAATGCAAAGGGCTGACCCTAGCCAGTTTGACTCAGCAGTTAGAGCGACAGCCTGCAGTCCAGAGAGACCCAGGTTCGGTTCCCGCTAAGGGCACGTATCTCGGTTGCAGTTTGTCCCCAGCCCTAGTTGGATTGTGCGGGTGGCAACCACCCGATGTGTCCCTTTCATGTAGATGTTTCTCTCTCTCTCTACCTCTCACTCTATCTGAACAAAAAGAAAAGGAAAAATGTACTCGGGTGAGGATTAAAAAGAAAAAAATGCAAAGGGCTGTATTGATTCAATACAATTTTGAGACAAAGAAAGTCTTTAAAGATTCTCAAGTACTTCAAAAGCATCTGATGGTACTTTTGTTAAATTCTTAACTTCTAGATACAAACAATCCAAATTTCCAAGATATTGAAAGCCTGCGTCTGATATCCTCGAAATTTTATTGTTTGATAAATCAAGTATCCGAACAGCAAACGTACCAACAAAGGTACCACTCACAAGGACAGTGAGGTGATTTCTTTGTAACTTTAAGTACTGAACTGAAATTAGATCATTAAATACTCCTCTTGGAAAAAAGGATACTTGACTAGACAGTAAATAAAAATTACAAAGATTGGAAAGCCCCTCAAATATTCCAGGATCCATTTCATATAATTATTACTTATAGAAAATAGAGGTGCCTCAAATGAACAAAAGCTTTTGGATATACATATACAATGCCAGCATTATCCAAATATAATGGTATAAGAGAATAAAGTCCTGTTAATTCACTTTCATTTACAGGAGATAAATTATTTCCAGTCAGATACAGAAAAACTGTACTTTCACAAAAATTCCTAGGAATACTTATAAGGCCTAAGTTATGGTACTTAGTATGTCTCCCAGTGCAGAGCTGGCAAACGGACAAACGTCCAAGTATCTCTTTATGGAATAATTAATACAAGATTACAGGTAACAAGAAGTAAGAGTAGTAGGCAAGGCAGAGAAAAACGCAATCCACACATAGCCCTGTTATTGTTTTTTCTGTTCATATCAGAATGGGCGATAAAAAGAAAAGATAAAACTTTAAATCATCAAAAAGTTCTTAAAATGAAAGTTTTATAATACCAGAAATTCTGTATTCTATTTCATATTTATTAGAATCAGCCAATAATACTAAGTACTGATAAATCATACTATGATAGCATAAAATAATGAGTTTGGAATATACTCTAGAATTATTAGCACCTCCAGGCCATTAACCCACTGTTTCACAAAATAATAACTCAAATTTCATGAACTGTAAAATAATATGTTTGCTAAGTTCATTTAAAATATTACAACTGACCATAACAAAGGTGATATATGATGATGCAAGAATACTGGTCTTTGGATATAATATGTCTCTTTATCAACTTAAAGTCTAATATTAATGAAATAACATTATAACTTATAAAACTACAAATTCATTAGAAAACAAACTCTACTGAAAATACAGTTTTTCACAAATCAAAGTATTTTCTGTTTCAGCAAAAAGTTCATATTTAAATAAACAGTCTTACCAAGAACAGGAAATTTATATTATTAACACTCAGCCGATTCAAGTAAAGGTTTTCTTTCTAAATCTGAGGAGAGAAATTTCTAAACTCCATTTCTTTCTGTGGCACAGTTGATCTCTACTCCTCCACCTTTATTTTTTTTTTTTAAGTCACAGTTTGCTCAGGAAACACCACTTTTTACATTGGTTCCTCACAGTGTATAAAACAGAGGTTGCCATGGATACAGGAAACAGAGAGACAGGAAGTAATTTTATCTGTGTTTCAAAAGTATTGTTGAAAGGAAATCTCAGGAACTTATTTTTCAAAATGCAGTTAATTTGAATTTTCCTAATGCACACACCTAAATACGGCATAATTTTAAAAATCAGTGTTTTTTTAAAGAGGAAAAAAACCTGAAAATTTTAAATGTTCAGAATGAACAAACACTCTATACATCAATGAAAGATAGCTACTGAGTGAAAAAAGCAAGTTGAAATAAGATGTAAATAGAGTAATAATATTTTTGTGAATTTTTAAATGCATAAAATACTTATTTGTTCTGAATGCATATTAGAAACGTCCATTCTGTTTTATTCCTGTAAAAAACAGGTAGCAAAATACACAAACAATTTAGAATAGTGAACGCAAATGTTACACTATCCTCTATGCTCTTCTATTTTAATTTTTCAAAATAAAATTGGGGAGTATAAAAATAATTAAAAATTACTAATTAGTGCCTTAATACAAGTTGCAGCAAAATAGATTTACAGTTTTAAGTATGCAAAACACAGTTTATTCTTGTATTATTATTTAGAAATTATTGTATTATTTTCCATACAAATAACTGTAAACCTTTTGCCCCACCCTATATGTTAAGGTATATGCCTTTAGGTGTATAATGATATCAAGCTGCATACAAAATTACTAACAAAAGTTATCTTTTGCCAAGAAAAGTTCAGGAGAGTGAAAGAGGCCCCTGAATAACATTTTACTATATATGCATCTGAGTACGTTTTGAATCTTTTAGGATAAATGTGTATAAGTTAGTATAGTATAATATAATATAATATAATATAATATAATATAATATAATATAATATAATATAATATAATATAATATAATATAATATAATTTTTTAATCCTCCCTGGAGGTCACAGTTTCACTGATTTTAGAGAAAGAGGAAGTGAAGGAGGGAGAAGGAGAAGAAGAGAAGGGGAGAGGGAGAGCGAGAGAGAAACATTGATGTGAGAGAGTAACATCAACTGGTTGCCTCCCATATGCACCCCAACCAGGATGGAATCTGAAACCTAGTTATGTGCCCTGAGTGGAAATCAAACCCACGACCTTCTGGTACACAGGACAATGCTCCAACTGAGCCACACGGGCCAGGACTGATCTTATGGATCTTAAAAGTTACTTATGGACCCAAATACCAACATTTAAAATGGGGTTTACAATTAAAAATAGTCCAGCCCTGGACGATTTGGCTCAGCAGTTAGAGTGTCAGCCTGCAGACCAAAGAGTCATGGGTTCAATTCCAGTCAAGGGCACATACCTTGGTTGTGTTTGGTCCCCGGCCCTGGTCAGAGTGGTGCAGGAGGCAATTAGTCGATGTGTTTCTTTTATATCGATGTTTGTTTCTCTCTCTCTCTCTCTCTCTCTCTCTCTCTCTCTCTCTCTCTCTTTCTCTCCCTTCCTCCCTCCCATTCTGTCTGAAAATAAATGGAAAAATATCCTTAGGTAAGGAATAAAAATTTTTTAAAAAGTCCATTAACAGTAAATAAATATTATCATTTTGCTCAATGTAGGGTGAAATTTTACTAAGAAGCAGCATCTCGGTACGGATTTCTATTCAGTTTCAAGGAAAAAAATATTAACTGCACAGTGGAGAAATCAGACATCTTGACCAGGAGTAGCATCACTAGTGAGAAGCAGGTGGACACCATATGCTACCCCAGATGTGATATTTCAAGGAGGACAGAAGACACTGATGTAATATTCCAACCAGAAATGTATAATAATCTAATGTATTATAATCTAATAATGAGGAAACACCCCGATGAGGAACATTTTATTCTGTTGTGACAGAAGGAGTGAGGGATGAATGCAGGGAAGGAAGGGGAAAGGAAGAGAAGGATACAGAGAAAAGGACTGTATTCTTTAAAAATGTTACCCATTACAGAGAAGGACTCAGAAAATGACATTACAGAGTAAAGCACCACCAGATCCTAGACTGAAATTAGGGGGAAAGGCCATGATTTATGCAACTTACATGCAAATGGTTCAGAAAATAAAGAATGGCTTGATCATCTTGTCTATCAACTGCACACATGAAGTAGAGGGAAAAATGTTTTCCCGTGGCTTCTGCTGTCTGGACTGCAGGGGACATAAGACCTTGATACACATTCATAATTTTTCAGTGGTAACAGGAATAGGGCAACTTTAGTTGGTAATGTGACTTCTAATACCAGCTCAATCTACTAACAAAAACCCATTTATAAAATGAGACCTACACAATGTATGAGAATCTGTTATTTGAAATTATCAATTACCCGCCCTGGCCGGTTTGGCTCAGCGGTTAGAGCGTTGGCCTGCGGTCTGGAGAGACCCGGGTTCAGTTCCCGCTAAGGGCGCGGACCTCGGTTGCAGTTTGTCCCCGGCCCTGGTTGGTCGTGCGGGTGGCAGCCACTCGATGTGTTCCTTTCACATTGATGTCTCTCTCTCTCTCTCTCTCTGTTCCTCTCTCTCCCTCCCACTCTACCTGAACAAAAAAAAAAAAAATGGAAAAATGTCCTCGGGTGAGGATAAAAAAAAAAAAAGAAAGAAATTATCCATTACCCTAATCGATTCCATTAGAAGAGGTACTTCTAATAATAACTGAGGCTGATTAATCACTTAGAAATAATGTCTTAAAGTCTCCCTTTCGTTTTTTTAGAGAGAGAAGAAGAAAGAGAGAGAGAGAGAGAGATGGAAATGTCAGTGAGAGAGAACACTAACTGGCCGGCTCCTACGTGCCTCCCACTGGGGATCAGGCCCACAGGCTGGGCATGTGCCCTGAACAGGAATCGAACTGGCAGCTTTTTGGTGCATGGATTAAGGCTCAACCACTTAGCCACACTGGCCAGGCTCTCATCCTTATTTTTAATCATGGCAGATAATAAGTATAAAAAAATCTGTCCACTAATGACTTTCATTCCAAAATTAACCATCATTATAATAGAAACAATAAATGACACAAAATTTTTTTTTATCATTTATTGAATGCTTACTATTAAATGCTTTGGAAAGTTTAAAAATTATACTCTATTTGAAAGGCTGGTGCATATCATATTTTTTAAATTGTGGAATTATAGAATACTATAAATTGTTTATTATTTATTACAGTAAACTAATATTTATAAAGACAAAGTAACTTCCTAAGTATATAAATAAAAATAAATTCCAAATTCCACAGTCTCACATTACCTCTTTTCTAAATTTATAAAAATATATTTAATGCTCAAATAACTAACAAATTTAAATGACACATCCTTTTCACTGTAATACATTTAAATTCATTCCACACTTTTTTTTTTGGAAAGGGTATTAACAGGAAGGTATACAGAATTCACATATAAAATGAATTTAATAAACAGATTAAAAGTATGCCTAAAGTAGGCCCATTCAAAGAGCTCCTAATTTGCGACAATACTACAGATCACAGTATATACAAACACTCCCCTCTTTAGGACTGCTAAATGTGAACATGTTTTTATGGTATGCTAATATGGCAAAACTGAAGAATAAGGTATCCCAAATAGCACTCTAAAGAGTAACCAAAAACTACAGGACACTGAAAAAAGAAACAGAGGAAGATACAAAAAAGTGGAAGCAGCCCAGCCCATGAGGCTCAGTGGTTGAGTGTCAACCCATGCACCAAGAGGTCGCCAGATTCAATTCCCTCAGGGCATATGCCCAAGTTGTGGGCCCAATCCCCAGAGCGGGGCATGCAGGAAGCAGCCAATCGACGTTCTCTCTCATCCATGTTTCCATCTCTCTCTGCCTCTCCCTCTCCCTTCATCTCTCTAAAATCCATAAAGAAAAAAAAGTAGAAACATATAACATGTTCATGGATTGGAAGAATCAACACCATTAAAATGTCCATACTACCCAAAACAATCTATAGAGTCAATGCAATCCCTATTAAAGTACCAATAGCATATTTCACAGATCTAGAACAAATACACCAAAAGTATATATGGAACCAAAATAGACCCTAAATAGCCACAGTAATCTTGAAAATGAAAAACAAAGTGGGAGGGATCACAATACCAGATATCAAGTTATACTACAATGCCATTGTAATCAAAACAACCTGGTACTGACACAAGAGCAGGCATATAGATCAATGGAACAGAACAGAGAACATAGAAATCAACCCAAGACTTATGCACAATTAATATTCGACAACAGAGGCAAGAGCATACAATGGAGAAAAGATAGTCTCTTCAATAAATGGTGTTGGGAAAATTGAACAGGTACATGCAAAAAAAAAAAAAAAATGAAACTAGACCACCAACTTACACTATACACAAGAATAAACT